TTTTTTTTTTTTTTTTTTTTCTGTAGACTTTTTGGTGACATTACTAAAAGAAGACCTAAAACAGTAAGAAAGATAATGAAAGATCCAGCTTTATTTGAAGGAATGCAATGTGCAAAGCTAAGAGTATGTGTTAATGAAAATATGTTCATAATAAAAACATCTTTTGTGATCTGTCAGCACCTAGAGTATTTGTTGAGGATGACTCTCAGCTATTACCACATCACATTTTAGTTCAAGATTTGCAAAGTTCACTGAGTTGAGGCCATTTTTAATTTTGCTGAAGTAGTCATCGTACATTGAGTTGACCCCTTATAGATGTACACCCAGTCATTACTTTGACTGTTTCTGACATAAATCCATTAATTGGTTAATAAGACATGTTTTTTTCTCAAAGACAAACAAGCACACAAATATAGAGGCAACATCACTTTAGGTGATTTGTAAACAGTGGTGGCTGGTCAATAGGAGGTCCACGTTTGCACACTGCGCACTGAAGACCATGGAGGCTCACCCAATGCTGAACAGGCCCAAGAAGTCTAATCTAGTTYAGGAGTTGCAGCTCTTCATGGARAAMAATCTGCAGGACACTTTCAGAAACTGTGACTCTGCTGAAGATTCTCATCACACCTCCTCTGACCACAGCTGAATCTGAGAGGAGCTTCTCAACACTGAAGACAATCCAAACTTTCCTCAGGTACAACATCGCATCTCACTGCACTGACCATGCTCTATATAGAAGAATCTTGTTAAAACATCCCTGACTTTAACCAGAGTCATGAAGTGATTTGCTTCTCAGTTACAGAAGGGCAAACTTTATGTACAAAAATTAAAACACTACATTACATTGTAAAGCTGTTTTATTATTTTCATTTGTTTATTAAATACATTGTCGTGATACAGTACAACTTAGTACACGTTTGATTGCTTTTGGAGATGAGGCTATTTTGGAGTTGTAGCCCCACTGGAGAAAAATCCACCGGCTGCCACTGTTTGTAAATAAACAAATATTTGAAGGAAATTAACGGAAGCAAATATCTGAAATAAAAATTGTTGCATTTTACTGACCACTTTAGGCAATAGTTTAATCACTAACACTTTTTCTTAACTCTTTCTTAACTTTTATTTTGGTCATGTTCTGATCCTCTGCTGTATTTTCCAAACTTTCAGTGAGTCATGAGATTATATCTTGCAGCAGAAAATCTCCCACTGCAAAGTGCTTGTGTGACACCTGCCACTGTATATTTTTGGTTACCTTTTGGTAGTTTTATGCGTTTATGGTTGGGTACATTTATTTTTCCTTTGTTTTATATTTTATGTTCTGCTCCACCGAGTTTCAGCCATCAATTCAGTTTTCTTCTCAGTTGTTTTCCTCATTTCAGCTCCTGCTCCTTGGTCCTGCTACGCCCACTCACACCTGTTCTCTGTCTCGTTAAGCTCAGCTGTTTGTCATCTCCTCGTTGACCTCAGCCCATATAACCACTCTTGAAATCAGAAGTGAATCCTTACATGCTACAACTGGCTTTCTCTGTACATGTTTGTGATTCACTCACAGTTCTGTGTGTTGCTACTTCCTCAGCGTTTTGGCTTAAAAAAAATGAAGTTTAGATTTTATTTCAGCTCTTTTCTGTCTGCATACCTGGGGCCAACACCCCTTAAGAATCAAATTGCACATTCTCTGGAAATTTTGCTAGGTTTTTGTTTTAAAAACMGCTCAAGATATTTTGTATCTTTTATTTAACCAGTCAAACCCCATTGAGATATTGCAAAAGGGGCCTGAAGGCAGCTTAACAATACTGTTTCTGTTTGTGGGGGGAAACTTGGGTACCCGGTGAAAACCCGTGCAAACACAAGGAGAACATGCTCCACACACAAACTCCAGGTCCAAACCRTGGATCAAACCGCAGACCTTCTTGATGTGAGGCATTCAGTGCTAATCACTAATCCATCATGCTGCACATTTTAAAGTTATTTTATTTAAAACAAACCAGTCCTGGGGATTGTTTAATATACAACTGAACTATTTAGGCTCATGGAGAAGGGGGTTGGGGGGGGGACTAAGCAAAACTGAGTAAATGGAACTAACACTGATGGAAGCTCTGCTCTTCCACATGTGCAAAAATGTAATGCAGCTTCTGTTAAGTTCAGTTGTAATAAAAGGGATTATCTGCTGTGAGAAAACCTCATTAGTGAGAGAGATTTGATTGYGTTGCAGTGGAGAATATAGCCTATAGTTGAACAAATGGATTTAATGCCGGCAGTCAGACAATGTTGGTAACAAAAACTGGTGATGAATTTAACAACAAGATGATGCTCTTGAACACCCCGCAGAATCACAATGGGCTGCCTCGAGTGTTTAGCCCTGACCCTCACTGTCCCTGACCTTAACATGATTTAAAGTCTGTCCACAGCCTTTGAATACATGCAAGACCAGACAAGAATCTAACTAAAGTCAAATCTGTTTGCAAATTGAAAATAAAAGGTGAAAATCTGCTCAAATATATATTTAGAAGCTCGATCTGAATTGTTTAATGATGTTTTTACCAGTGAATTTTTCCAAGACAGACTGGTTTTCGGAGAAAATGAAAGACTAAATAAATAAATAAATAAAAGTGGCAATTCCAATTAAATGATTCAAAACTATGATGAAGCTCTTTTATGCCGGATATTTGTCTAAAAATATTCAATAAAAGATATAAAATCTTAAATGAAAACCATATGATTTCAATATCATGTTTAAGATGCAAAACATCGTAACATTTTTCAAAAAAAAGTTTTTATTATATACTGTCGTACTGTTAAAATTAACCTGATTTTTATCTACAAAAAGTACAGCATTTTGGTGAACAGATTATTTTTTAAAGCTTTAAATCTGTTTTTTTTTTTAGCAGTGACCAATCAGAAACCATAAAACCTAAAGAACTGGGCTAAATCAAATCAATTTGCAGTATAGGCAAGTAAACTAGATGTCAGCAAACAACATTCTTGCATTTAYTGCTCCCAACACCCAGATGTTTGCTCTCCTGTGAAAATGTTTGAAATGAAAGCTCCTGGGTTGCAGTTAATGGACTATTTTCTCTGTTCCATCAAGCAACATCTTTTAGTGTCTTTTTAGTCTGGAGGGGAAAAACAGTTATTTTTAAAATGGCACAATGCAATGCTCCCTATCAGAGTTGTTTCTAATTTAAAAAAAGTGTTTATATTCTGATGTTTGATTAGCGATGCATAAATTGGTTTTGACATCATTTTAGCTTTTGTTGCATGCAGCATGAATGCACTTATAGCTGTTTGTTTTGGAAAAAAGCCTGAATCAAACACGTGCTGATTGTGCTGAAGGGTTTTGTTTTTTCCCTTCTTTATGATACTCTCTTCGTGTATAAAATGTAAGGTGAAATTCCTGCCTGAACGACATGRGTATAACAAACACTAAGCTACGCTTTGCTAATAAGGTTTTCCAATTAACAGGTCAAACAGACCTTGTTAAAGGATTTAAAGCAACAAAATTGTTGGGAAATTACAGATTTTGGGATAAACGATGTAATACATTCAAAAGTTGCATTAACCCAAATTGCAAAATAAACAGGTAGGTGCAATAATTAAAATGTAATGGTTTCGGAAGAAAAAAAATCATTATTATAAAGCAAACTTGATACCGCATAGCGGTAACATAATGACCCCCACACTCAGAAGTTTTTATTCCTAATAAATGTCATGTTAGGTGCATCCCAAAATTGAAGTGGCCTGGGTGAGGGTCTTTTTTTTGGGGTGGGGGGCACTGATTGGTGGGCCTGATGGATAGAGCTTCATCAGAGCTAAACAACAAAAGAAATTTGAAGCTTCTATGTTGAACAGTTTCTGAGTTATAAACATTTTTGCATGTCCAGACACCCCCTCTTTGAAAGGAGCCCCCTCCTCGAATATGGCGTGTATCTTAAAACTGTTGGCTGCGCAGTGTAGGTCAAACTCATCTACAGTCCTGCCAAATTTCATGTTGACTGGTGCAGCCGTTTTTGTGCTACGGTTGACCAAAAACTTCTGAACAAAAAAAAAAAGTACAGTACAGTGAGAAAACAATATGACTCCCGCTTACACTTCACGTRCGGGGGTCATAATAAATCATGAAAAATTATGATTATAATTTGAAAATGTGCAGACATTACAAAAGCTTGTTTTTTTTCCTTCAAAACTCTCAATATGATCACAACATAACTTGTGTATTTACCTTTTCTGAATATTGATAGTCATTAATCTTTCCCATAATGATTTGAACTCACATAAATGACAGTCAGTCAATCAGTTTTACAGATTTTGAGCTGAAATGTGCTAAATGAAGCCACCAACAAAAAAATATAGTCTGAACAAGAAAACCCAAGATCTTATTTTAAAACTGCATTTCGGGGTCTTGTTCACGAATGAGGGAAGAATGGAGCAGGAGTTCGACAGGTATATTGGTGCTGCATCTGCAGTGATGCGGGTGCTGTACCGGTCTGTCGTGGTGAAGCGGGAGCTGAGCCAGAAGGTAAAGCTCTCGGTTTATGTTCCTACACTAATCTATAGTCACRAGCTTTGGGTAGTGACCGAAAGAATGAGATTGTGGATACAAGCGGCCGAAATGAGTTTCCTCTGCAGGGTGTCTGGGCTCTCCCTTAGAGATAGGGTGAGAAGCTCGGTCATCTTTGAGGGACTCAGAATAGAGCTGCTGCTCCTCCACGTTGAGGTGGCTCGGGCATCTGGTTAGGATGCCTCCCGGACGTCTCCCTGACGAGGTGTTCCGGGCACGTCCCATTGGGAGGAGGCCCAGAGGAAGACCCAGGACACGCTGGAGGGACTATGTTTCTCAGCTGGCCTGGGAATGCCTTGGGATTCCCCTGGATGAGCTGGCCCAAGTGGCTGGGGAGAGGGAAGTCTGAGTCTCTCTGCTTAGGCTGCTGCCCCTGCGACCCAACCCCAGATAAGCAGCAGAAAATGGACAGACAGACAAACACAACTGTCTGTTAGCTAAACATCTCACAAACCACTGGCTACATTCTACTGAAACTCTTAGTACATCTAGTTTCAGCTTTATTGAAAATGGCTCTGACATCCAATCACCCTTAGCAAACACAAAGATGACTATAACTCAGTCAATGTTAACGATACTGGCATTGAATTTAGCAGCAGCTGAGAGTCAGCCTCATCACACAATCTGAGGGGCAACATATTTATCTAAAATGTTTGAAAGAATACATATTTCCTGCAGCTCCGCATTACAAAATATGCCAGTGTTCTCTTTTATATGCAATTATGTCAAAACAATGTGATTATACAGGTATAATAAAGGGGCAATATTATGTMAATTCAACATTTTTGAGTTTTATATCGTGTTATAGTGTTATCCCCTCATGCATGTTTGAGAAATCCTGTAGTGTCCTAAGGCAGCCAGGCAGGGAAGCAAAAATGGCTGAYTGGGCCTAGAACCACCGTTTAGGAGCAGCTCCTCCTCTGGGCTGTGTCTCCAAGCCGAGCGTCCTCATCAAAGAGCACACCTCCCCCACGACTCCTGCAGGCTGTCGCAACATCTAGCAAACAACGGGTGAAACTGCACATGCGTGAGTCCTTTTTGGATTAAATGCATTTGAGG